AAATAAACATGCACCTACAGCGGGTCAATTAGTTCTTCAAATGTTACCTTTAAGTTAATTTTATTGTTTTGTGATATTAATAATGCTAATATGTTGATATTTTTCCAGTTTTGATCTATTTTTGCTTCTGTTTAGCGTCGTCATGGTTGCTAGGTGACATGATGTACGCCGGGGTGGAGGGGAGCTAAACCGTCCAAATTCACGGACTCTTTTTTTTCCGGTCTTCCCGGTCCACCAAGGACCCGGCCCACCTCGACCGGGTAGTCTGGGTCCTCCGGAGGACCCGGCCTGTCGTTTTGGACACAGCCATTGTTACAAATAATCATGGATCCCTACCTAGCGTTATGCTCTCTTGCTCCTCAGAAGTGGAGGAGCAAAATGGCTGACTTACTGCTGCCAACTAGAGGTCGGAGGCTAAACTACAACACAAAAATGAAACATTGGCATGAAAGTTTACATTTTTGAACCTTAATTAAAAATCAATACAGTGCTTTAGAGAATGTATATAACATCAGGAAATGAAATGTCATGATATTTTAATGTATCAATATTTTTTACACCACTAACTGCTCCCCGTTTAACATTGTATTAATTCTAATTCAGCTCTGTTCATAACTAAATCTGTTGGTGTCAATTAAGAGTACTTTAAGTGTRTTTATAGAATATTCTACTAAAAAAGCATAAAAAATAAAGTCTTTTATGTGTTACCTTGTGTGCCGTGCGGAAGTAGATGCTCTTGTCGGCACCACAGCTGATTATCTTTAGCTTGTTTTCATGAGCTAAAAGGGAAAAAAKGCCTTTTTTTATTTAGTCAGAAGTTTGTAAACTAAAAAAAAACTGTAGGCACGCAAACATCTTGCTTTTCACTGAATAAAAAAAATCAGAGTAGCTACAGTTAAAAAAACAGAAGGAAGAGAGAGAGGAAAGAACCTGTCTGGTTTCCAATAATTATCTCAACATTCATTGCTGTGAGGAGATCTAAGTGGGTCTTTGTGTGGGACTGAGGGGAGATAATAGGGAGGATTAGGAGAAGATTAGTCATCAGATGTCTCACCAGCGAAGTGGACGGCAGTAATGGATGAAGAGTGCTCATCGAGTGTCTGCACCAGACTGTAGTCCTCGTCTGCGTTCAGGACGTGGATCAGACGGTCCCTGCTAGCTGTGGCCAACAGCTTCAGACCTGAAAACAACCAGGCCACGTAYATGAGCTGGTGTAACCTTTAAATGAGCTCAAATTAACACAGACACACCTGTTTCTGCTTTGCTGTATTCCAGACAGAGGATCTCTGCATCGTGAGCCTCCACTTTCAGGATCTCCTTCATGGTGCTGAGTTCATGAACCCTGCACGGTGTTAAAGCGCATTTTAGCGTCGTGTCGGTCGTTGGTATCTGTTTCAGCCTTCGATCATTACCTCAGCATCCCGCTGCGATCTCCAGACGCCAGGTGTTTGCCATCTGGACTGACACAGGCCGTCCTGATGCCCGTCTTGATTTCTGTGGCTTGTGCTTCACCCGATTTGTCCGCATTCACGTTTGTTGAACAATCTGGATCCAACAAAATACTGGTGTTTCCATCGACATAAATTATATTCAGAAGATCCTGAAAGGAAATAATTAGTACATAAATTATTATTAATTAATGGAATTTGTACCTAAAATGAGTCTGAAACCAAACGCACGTGGCTGAGGATGTTCTGAGACTGAACACGTCTCTGGGTCGGGTCCTCCATGTGCCACATCCTTATTGTGTTGTCAGCTGAACAGGTGAGGAACGAGCCTGACGACAGGCCAGCAGCTGATTCTTCAGGAACATCTGGGAACAGCTGGGGAGGATGAAAGTTTCAGAGAATATTAGTTTCATCAGGGTGAGTAGGAGTCACAGCAGGGGCGGAGCCAGGGGGTGGCCAGGGGTGGCCATGGCCACCACAGACATATCTTTGGCCACCCTGCTGCACACACCCCTTCCACAGTGAAACAACCTTTAGGGGTGTAATAATCCTCCTGAACAGTTGGTGGCAGTGTTTAACAGTTTGAAACCTTACCGAGCTCTATCACTGAAGAAGAGTAATGACAAGCAAGTGATGGTTTTCTTTATATACAGAACATATGCCTATGTAATCTGACTTATGGTGACAAATGTTTGCTTTTTTTTTGTCACCATAACACAGTTTCATTTTATGTTCTGAAGGCTGCAAGGTGCTCTGTCTGTTTTGGTTATGAGTAGATCACTAAATCAGAAAAAGTGAAATCCCCCTCTAAATTCACTGTTGGTAGTTATCAATATCAGTCATTTGATATGATAAAATGTCACATTAATTAACCTTATCTCAGCTGTAGCAGTGAGTTTAAAAACAGGATAATGAAACTAGTTTAATGAAGAATCAGTTTCTGAAATAACTATTAAATCAAGTGTTTATTTACATAAGTAAAAGTATGTTAAACAACCTGATAAAATACACCAGAATGCTGGAAAGGGCATCTRTTTCGYTCAAAATTTTCTGGGGGAGGACCCCCAGACCCACCAACAGTGTATCCTCCCACCACTAAAATGGTTCTGACGCTCATGTTTATAAGGTAGTCACTGCCTGTTTAAGGACATATCAGGAAATTACCAAAACACAAAGGTCTGCAGAAACTTTCAAGTAAAAAATGATGTAATTTTCCTGGCCACCCCTGTGTGAGTAGTGGTCCCCGTCTGGCCACCCCTGTGTGAGTAGTGGTCCCAGTCTGGCCACCCCTGTGTGAGTAGTGGTCCCAGTCTGGCCACCCCTGTGTGAGTAGTGGTCCCCGTCTGGCCACCCCTGAGAAAAATGTCTGGCTCCGCCACTGAGTCACAGCCCTACTTTTGTTTCTGTCCTATGTTTCATCATTGGGGTCACATTCATCAGTATCTGGAGTACTTGGAGGGCTGAGAGGATTCCACTATTCCATGACCTCATTAGTGACTTCTGTTAGTGGTGAACTATTATAAAAATACTACCTTGATATCTTATTTTGAAGTCTTCTGTCTAGCTTTAAAACCTGCTTTGGACTCCTGGAATCTCTGTGAACTTTCTGCCTCCACCAGTCAACACCCTGATCATTCCGTCTTGACCGATGAAGATAATGTTGTTAATTTTTGACCGAGTCAAAACAAAGAGTGGAGTGGCTTGTCTCGTTGCACAATCGGGACCTCCTGCGAGTGTTTACCTCCAAATCCCAAACACAGGCAGCGTGGAAGAGGGCAGAGGTCACCTTCTTGACCCGGTGCACCTCTCTAACGTCCCACACATACAGGCTGTGGTCGTTGTACACGCAGCTGAGCCAGCGGCCGACGGAGTCGTACTGAAGGGCGATGACGTCTGCGAAACAAGCATCTGCCCTGGTGTTGAGAAGATGGCTGTGGGCGAGAAAAGACGGAGTGAAATGCGTAAGACTAAGATTTGAGCTGGACAGGAAAACAACAAGCATTAAGGAGAGCTTTAGAACAAGGATTGATGCCACTCGAGACAGGATGTTCTATAACTAGAGCTGGATCTCTGCCAGAGCACGGCTGCCTGGGCCAACGTCCTGATCTCCTTCCTCACCTGGCCTCGGTGGCGGCGGAGATGTCTGAGCCGAGGGGGTGTGGCYGCGGCAGTGTGCAGACGAAGTGGAGGTCGGCGGTCCTGAAGGCGCGCACCGTCCCGCCAGCGCAGCCGCAGAAGATCAGGTCTTCGGACAGAGTCAGGGTCTGAGCCATGGTGGTCTAGAAAACAGGAAACAACAAGAACATTCGTTTACTACACAGCTTGTAATGTTTGAAACATACTTGTCTTCAGCATGTTTTGGGATGTAAATACATCAACAGTGTGTAACACAAAACAAATGAAACACAAATATAATAAAATTCAATGAAGGAATGCAAATTGCCCACTTCCTTATTATCCAAAGTTTTGAACAAAGCGTATGAAGATAAATCTCAGCTGCTCCTACACATAAATTTTACTTCAATATCTGTAAAACGGATCAAGTTATAGCCATGTTTATGTTTGTCAAATTTGATTAGCTGTGGGCGCCATCTGAGAACGAACTGACTCCAAAATTTAACAATTTGTAAATGTGTACCTGTTGATTACTTTCCGACAAGCTCATTAAGATTCATCCACTGGTTCATGAGATATTTTGCTAACAGACAGGTAGAGTTGACTCTAAAAAAATAACAACAATGTTTAAACCAAAGATCTTGTACTATCCTTTAAGCTCAGAGTATGTGTTGGGAATGAAGCTAAGCTACAACCACACAAAGTTTGAGAGCAATATTTATAAAAAAAATGATTAAGCTGTACCTATTTTTGTGTTTTCTAAGTTTGATWAGCWGCAGCGGCCATCTTGAATCAAGTTGACTCCAAACATTAATCAGCACTAGATGTAAATCAAACGATTACCTCTGGAGAGTTTTGTTAAAATCTGCTTACTGGTTCACAAGCTGTTTTGCTAACAGACAAAATTTGAGCTGTAGCAGCATTAAAAATGACGGTGATGGGTTTTTTCCTCAGGTGTAACGTTTTGTTCAGCTGGCTTTGCATCAGTTCTCAGGCTCAACAGGTAGTGAGAGATGAGCCCAAACGTCCCTCACCCGTAGGTCCACCCACTTGTCCAGCGTCCTCTTGCTGCTGAACTCACACAGCAGGCCAGAGGAGGTGATGCAGAAGGTGGAGTCAGACTTGGAGCCCCGCCCACACGCCACATCACAGAAGAAGTTGTTCCTCAGCTCCCCGAGGAGCCCGGAGCGGCCCAGCAGAGGCACGGGGGCGCTTGCCTGCAAACATCAGACGTGCAAACGTGTTTATTTTTCTAATTCATCGATTGATTTAAAAGCCTAAGTTGGAAAATTAGCCAATAATTGTGATGATAAAACAAAATAACATAACTGCTTCATGTTAAATATTCCTCTGGTGACGAGAACTGAAATGGGCTGCTGTAAGTCACATGACCAACACCGGATTACCTTGCTGGTCTTGCTCTGATCCAGATACCAGAACCGGATGTGTCGGTTACCAACAGTCACAAAGTAGGAGCTGTCCTCGGAGAAAGACACGCCCGTCACTTTACTGGACACCTTGTTCGCAGCCACAACCACATCTTTCTGCAAGAAAACGACACAAAAACAAATAACACTTTTGCTRAAGAAATGATTTAAATCTGATCGTTGCACAATCAAAGTCTAGAACAGTGTTTCCCAAAGTTGGGGTCGGGACCCAAAGTGGGGTCCCGAAACATCAAGGTGGGGTCCTGAAAAGATTTTCTGAATTAATTACATTTTTGCCTTAGTTGTTACAAAGGAGTGAGGTTAGTATATTTAAAATGGATAAACGTAGTATAAAAATATGCCTTATATGTTACTATGCCCATGTTTAGTTTACCTGATACAAATGTTTATCATCCAAAAACATTTGGGTGCTCAGGTCTCTGCTACTGTTTTGTACTATTTTGTGGGTCAAAAGCTGAAAACTTTGGGACACTGATCTAGAGGATACGAGC